GAATATATCAAATGCAACCCAACCTATTCTTACAACCAATACAACCCTTTTCCAACCAATCAATGATTTTCTTTTTTTTAATTATTATTTAATTAAAAAAGTTAAATATGTCATTTACTAAATCTAGAGTATTATATTTATTTTTAAATAAAAATACGTAACATTCTATTTATGGTGATTGATTCATCATTTATGGAAATTGAATTCTTAATTAGACTACATGATATTTGCACATATTCGTTTGATTGATGCATTAAAGTTACATAACTTAATTTTTAAAATTGAAATTGAATAGTTTTAAAGTTCATGCCAATAACTGTATAAAACCTAGTATTAATGATATGGATTATATGCCATTCAACGAGATTTTCAGTAAGGATATCGTCGAAGAAAGCAGTGTTTTCGATTCCATGAACGACTGTCAAGGTTTGGATTATGGTGGTGAAAATGCAACCGCAGTTAATAATGAAACAATTGAAGATCAAGCTAACTATTCAATGAGGAATGAAGATGGCTGCAACGATAAAAAAGAAACAGTAAGTGAGCATAACGACGGAGTTTTTGTAGATTTTGTTGATATTGACGTTGCATCGTTGAGCAATGAAGCTGAAGGTATTGATTTGCTTTCATATGCTTATGTCTTTTGCACTTTAAAAACATGTTAATGAACCTAAAAATTGTTTACATRATGCTGTTAATGAACCCAAATGCAATGTAGTATGCTGTTAATGAACCTATATGTTAATGCACTATAATAGCATGTTTTATATGGTGATAYAGKTTYCYWWWAWKWAWYCMRRWTTYMCMAAAAMMMCCCMWWWTKKTYSKWTSMTGGYTGTCCTAGCATTCTAATCCCTTAATGAACAACATAGGCTGCAATAGGACAAATTGTTTGGAGAAGTARAATTGTGAAGCCATTTTCATCACTGTTTTSYTRTAGGCCAATTTCATCAYTGTTTKTGATGAAGCCATTTTCATCATGTGATGAAGACAAATTGCTGTTAATGAACCCAAATGCAATGTAGTATGTTGTTAATGAACCTATATGTTAATGCACTATAATAGCATGTTTTATATGGTGATACAGGTTTCATAATTGATTTGATTGCACAGTAACATATAGACTTAGTTGGTGAATCAGGTTTCATTAGCTAATWGACATAATACATACGTTTGTGATTTGWAGYAGTGATTTTCGCATTTTAAGATATATATACGTTTATGAATCCTAAAAACTGTTTTCATRATGGTGTTAATGAAACTAAAATKTAATGTAACATGYTGTTAATGAACCTATATGTTTCATTAGTTGGAAAGATGTAACGAAGACAAATTCGTTACTGTTATTGACCAACTSTAAGTTAGTAAATGAAAARGTTTTGATTTGTTTGATTTTGTAGATTMTCRATCKGATGGCATGGGGGAAACGAACGATGGGTCGAAATGTTGGTTCCCAAATGTAGACGTAGAATATAAGCCGAAGGTGGGTGATGGATTTGAGACCGTAGAATCGGCTGAGAAAATGTACCGGAAGTATGCTAATGAAGTTGGGTTTGATGTACGTTTATCCAACAAGAAGATAAATAGAACGGTCGTATCACTTCTCGATTTTATGTGTGTAGCAAGGAAGGAAGGCCACCAAGTAAGTATTTTGATTCCTTAGATGTTCTTCCATGTGATCGTAGGATCCGTAATTCAAATGTAAAGCGTTCCGGTTGTGGAGCATGTTTCAAGATTCATTTTGTTAAAGAACGGAGACAGTATGAAGTTTACAAATTTATTGAACAACACAATCACATGCTTTTTAATAAGGAGGAGATGAGGTTTTCACGTTCTAAAAGGCAAYTACACTACGCTGATCACAAAACTGTATTTCATGGTTCTAGTTTGAAGGTTGGTGTCACCAAATCTCATAGATTTAGGAAAGCAATTACGGGTGGTGTAGATTGCTCGGGTGGCACCGTAAGAGATCATCAAAACTTCAAACGCGATATGGCTTATTTTGTTGGCAATAAAGACGCGCAAATGTTGTTAAATGTGATGTCTAATAGGAGGAAGGTGTGTCCCGAGTTTTTTTTCCGAGTACAAGTGTGATGATAAGGAGTTGTTAGCGATTTTCTGGGTGGATGAAACTGCGAGATCGAATTATAGGGAATTTGGTGATACAATATCATTTGATGCAACGTTTCGGACGAATAAGTAAGTTCCAATTGATATGAATCTATTTGGTTTGTGTTATCTATATTACATGTTATAACTTGTATTAATTTATAATGTTTAATTTTAATAGGCATGCCATGATATTTGTTCCGTTTGTTGCAATTGATAATCATAAGAAATCTGTCGTTGTTGGAGCTGCTTTGATTCACAATGAATCTGTGGTTGATTACACTTGGGTATTGAAAGATTTTGTAAAAGCTCATGGACGTCAACCACGTTTTGTGATCACTGACCAATGTGCGTCGATGAAACAAGCAATTCTCATTGCATTTCCTAAATCCAAGCATCGATTGTGTATGTGGCATATCACTAAAAAGCTCAAATCTAAGGTAATTACGATGGAACTATTTTGTTTTCTTATTTTTTTAAGTTTTCCTTCTAATTGTGTATGTGGCAGATCAGTAATAACCTCCAACATCGTACGCCGTTTGTTAGTGAATTTAATAAGTTAGTGTGGAATGTTCACCTTGGCCCTGATGAATTTGAGATGAAATAGCTCAACATGATGGATTTGTATGGATTACGTGGAGACTCATGGTTTGATGAACTGTATGAGATTAGGGAGTCATGGATTCCGGCTTATTATAAGGATTATCATATGTCCGGTCTAATGAAAACAACTTCCAGGTCGGAGAGTATTAATGCTTTTTTTAATGTTTATGCATATTTTTGGCACGATCTAGTCATTTTTCTTCGTTCTTTTGATAATGCAATTGAAAGCCAACGGACGACACATGGGTCGCTAGAGGTGACAACGAAGTGCACAATTCCTCGATTGGTGTCTCCTTGCAAATTAGAAGCTCATGCAGCAGAAGTATATACACGGATGATATTTTTCGAAGTTCAAAAAGAGTTAAGAAAGGCTGTTTGGCTTTGTGGATGGGATGGATTCACTGACGTTGGTGAAACCCAAGTGTACACCATAACACACAAGAACAGAGCTTCTAAGATCACCACAAAGTACACGGTAGTTATTTCTTAATTATCCAATTTTGCCAAACAGTTAAAATAGTAGAATCCTTAATGCAACTTCCTAATATGATATGGTTTCTCATTTGATAGGTTGTCAAGAACAAGATTGAAGACTCGTATGATTGCTCATGTAACTATTTTGTTCGTAACGGGATTCTATGTCGTCACGCTCTCAAGGTAATGTTAAATGACGGGGTTGATAGAATTCCAGATATGTATATACTTCATCGTTGGAGACGCGATCTAGTCCCGATGGAGTGGTTACCAGTACGTTTCAGATATGGGGAAGTTGACGCTGATAAGGAGAGGCTGATGAGTGTTGCTTATTCGTATTTTGAACGTATTCTAGGTCGAGTGCGAAATGAGAAACATATTTTGTCAAAATTTGTTGACCAACTTCAAGAATGGGATACAAAGATTGATAATGAACTTCCTATACAGTCACACGCTCAAGAGACAACATCATCTATTAAAGAGTTTCTTCGAGTATCTCAACCTGAAAATATTGATGTTCTACCTCCAACCGACATACGGAATAAAGGTTGTGGGACTGGTAAGAGGCTTATTAGTGCTGCCGAGAAAGCAATTTCGAATGGCAAAAAGCAAAAGAGAAAGTGTCGGTTATGTCTTCAAATGTCTACACATGATTCGAGGAATTGTCCAAAACGTGATTCCACTTAAATTATGTCTTTTAATTTTTGGTGACATTTCATTTCAACACGTTATAGGATTAGATTATTGTGTTTTAGTTAAATAAACTACATTGTTGAAATTGGTTTGATCAAATTATTAGTGAATATCTAAATTTTTAATAAAGTTGAATATGCTTTCATTTTACTGGTTGATGTAGGCGTAAAAAGCTAAGTTGGTACATATGATTCTGATGAAAATAGGTACGTATTATTCTTATTGTCAATCTGGAATCACCACATGTTATAATCATTGAATATTGATCATTATGTTTTGCATTATTTCTACATGCATCAAGAAACTTTTGATATAGTTGTGTATGATTTCATTTTACCCTTTTGTGTAGTTGAAAAAAGTTATGTGATTACAATACATTATGATGAACATGGGTTCATCAGAATACATTCTGATTAACATGGGTTGGGCAGAATGTATTAGTCATTCTACAATAACATATTGTGAATATGTAATAATCATGTATTTTTGGATGGATATGGTTTGCATTATATATTCAGTATGAATCAAGTTTCATATAACATTTTCACTTTTTTGTGTAGTTGAACAAAGTGCTTATTTGAATATGTTATTCAAGATTCTGAATCTATATGGTTAGCATTCATATGACAATGTGTTGGCAAAATATGTTCATCAAATGTCATATACATTTCATAACGTCGAATATGCCAATAGCATAATGTTTAAACAAACTAGAAAATTCGATACCAAAAGCAAGTCATTAAAACCCTCTACATGCGAAAAGTATAAAAGAACATCAATCAATCATATTCGAAGTCTCTCAGTCTTTGTATCGTCAACATGTTTTCTTAACTTTTTTCGGATGGCTTCATCCATTGATTGAAACTTCTCAACTTCCTTAACAACATATTCCTTCTTCTTGTTGTAGTTGCTCACCAATAATTTTGCTACATATTTCATTCTAAGGGAGGCTATTTGGATCTCTTGTGTTTTTCCTTCTTGTGCCAGGCCAGTTTTCCATGTTCGCACAGGTCCCATGTACGTCTCCATGTGTCTCATTGCAAACACGCCACAATCATTGAAGTTGTTTTGTGTCTGCCAATCCATCCTCAACCTTTCTTGGCCGATTTCATCTAGTTCTTTCCCCGCTGGATGTCCAACAACATTTAAATGCCTGATCATCAATCTTTGCTGCACAAACGGAATGATATGGTTAACATATCGTATATCATATTAATAAAGAATACAATTATACGTCAATATATTATTCATACCAAAATATTTGTAATGAAGTCATACATCTGTAGAAGTTGATCATCATCGGACACCTCTTGAAATCTGTTGTCTATGACAACAACCGATGGGTTCTTCAGATTGAACACAACAAGATAATAGTGTCCCTTATCCAGTAATGGGAAGAATACCTATCATTTCATCAAGTTTGTAGTTTCATTAACAAAATGTTACATTGCATAAAAATCAGCAAGTTACAGTGCATTAACATAGAGTTTCATTAACAGCATGTTACATTTATAAGAGGAGTTTTATATGTTCATTAACATCATCTCACAAAAGTAACAGTGTAATTAGGTTTATTCAGAGCATGTTACTGTGCATATAAAACTTGATGTAACATTATGTTAATAAACCTAATTCACAAAATGATGTGCCTGTTTCACCAATTTACAAAGCTGATAATGTTACATTGCTATTATTGTGTTGTTAAAAGTTACATTAATGTTACTGTTACATTG